TTATTTATCACCTGTTGCAACTTAAATTTTAATAACGTTGCAATTCGTTGCAACATTGTGATACTTATTTGTCACCTGTTGCAACTAATTGAGGCGTCATCTTTAATTCAAACTATTTACCTTTTCTGCTTTTTCAATATTTTCATCGCTGATTTCTCAACGATTGCATCTTGTTGCAGATTCATAGGGGGAACATTTCTCGGTCTCTTTGTTTTGAGGGTTTCAAATTCACAAGGAAACTAATAATAGAATATATGAATAGGTTGTTTTTATTCATAAAAATATTGAGATAGTGGTTTTACCTTTTCGTTTGCTTTAGTGGGGTTACATCATTCTCTCTATCATCTCAGAGATGTTTTGATAGTAACTTCACAGGTTATCAGAGTTTACTTCACAGTTTATGGTAAGCAATGCATGATGGATATTTTGCCACTTTGTAACAAAATCTACCAATTAATGCATTGCATATATTAACTGTGGAGTTATCAGCGATTACCTGTGAAGTTACGTTATAATTATCCGGTTCAGATAATTAAACTCTTGCTGTTGCAAATTACTCCATGGCCAAAGTATAATTATCATATGTGACCGTGTAATTATTCTAGTTAGATGACAATTATCGATGTTATCGATAGACACAGTATTACCATTTGCGAGCACCTGCTATTGTATCTAATCGAAGAAAAATGTTAAGATTTTTTGTTTTAAGAAATTTTCAGGTTAGAAAACCCACCTGATTAAATTTGAACTTGAAAGCTGTATCATCGCTCATCATAGACCAATCCTTAATAAAAGAATGCAGAATTAGCAGTGTTTACAGGAAACAGTATACAATAAACATAAATATACAAGCAAAGAAAGTGACAAACTAAGAGTTCATAACTGTAGACTAAAGAGTCACAACCTGCGCTCACTTAAGTATTGAACGAAAAGTCATCACTGTAGACTAGGAGTCACAGGAAAAACTAAGAGTTCATAACTGTAGACTAAGCCATAGCTTAAATCATTATCTTATTAATAACTGAGACATACTTTCCAGTTGTCAATTATTTTTTGGGCTTTTTTTTTACGTGTCACACCAAAACAGTCCTTTTGTCCTGAAATAACGCGATATAACTTTATAAGCTTTGTAAAAATCTATCGAGTTGGAAAAAGAAAGCATAATGGACATTTAACTTTTCTGCGATTTTATTGGTTAAATTTTGTGATGATGACATTTCGGAATATCAAAGATTAGTAAATCTCTAAACATTATTTTTATTCTTAAATTAAATCACCAAACATTTACTAACTAAACGAATAAAGTTTACCCATTGATTAACTTAATTAATATCAAATAAAAATATGCATCTCGTAAATAAAAAATTTTATTATAATTAATCTCGTATTATCAATTACACCAAATAAATCATTTTTATTAGATGAGTATAAAGATGATTTTGAAAATTTGATTAAATCCTCCAAGGTTAAAGAAATCACCCTATTAATTCATAATGATGATGTTCCGGGAAATAATAATGGTGATGCTATATTGACCTTTATGTTTAACACCCTGTCAAGTTATGCTAGTTCTAATCGTTCAACGATAAAATTTGGTGAAGGTTGGAATATCAGTGTAAAGGTCTTGTGTGAATTCTTGCAGCGATGGAGGGGAGAGAAAATCCTTGTTCATTTACTATCATATGGAAATTGATATCACCGAACAACAATTACAAGTTTTTGAAAATTTTAAAAATATTGGTTGTACTCAAAGGTTGGAAAAGATATTTTTAAAACGATTTATAGACGTAGCTAGCTAGTATTTATTTAATTATTTATTTTGTAGTTTTTGTAGTCATTAATAAATAACATTTGTTAAAAAAACCGTCTTGACGAATGAAAACTTGTTTTTTTTTTTTTGATATACATTTTTTTTTTAAAAAAATACGAGTTATATCTTAAATAATAGAAAATCATAATAAAAATTTTAATTTAACACTACTCTGTCATTTTTATTTAATGGCGTAGCGTTATCGCGTAAATTTAATAGAAACTTTATTTACATTATAATAATTTTTAGAAAACATTATTTAATAATATATACATATATTTATCTATTACATTAACAATACCATAATTATACGAGGACAATTGTACAACTCATATGACAAGACCA